GCGATGGCGGCTGGTGGCGGCGGCGGTGGCGGCGGCGGCGGTGGCGGCTGGCGGCGGCGGCGGCGGGGGCGACGGCGGCGGCGGCGGCGGCGGCGGCGGCGGTGGCGGCGGCGGCGGCGGCGGCGGCAGGCAGGCAGAGGCTGAGAGGGCGGCTGGCGGAGCTGCGGACCGTCTCGATGCCGTCTGCGATCAGGTCTCGCGACTGGAGGGAGTATGCCATGCCGTCGGTGCCGTTGGAGATGCCGTCGGAGACGCCGATCGAGTTGAAGCGCAGGCCCACCATCCCGCTCCCCTCGCAGCTCTCCTTGGCGGCGCCGGCGATGTCGAGCAGGTGCATGTTGCACGGGTTGCCCTCGTACCACACCGAGGCGATGCCGACCTGCACCTTGTTCATGCCGCCCGGCACCTTGCCCACGTCGGTGGCGTACAGCTGCGCCTGCCCCGCTCCCTGCGACCGTCGCTGCGTGATCACGGCCGAGTACTTGTTTGGCCGATCAAGGCCGTGCTCTGCATTCGGCAGCACCGCCTCGTACGTGCCGCGGGCCGGACCCGACGCGGCTGGGTCAGCGTCGTCCGCGAGGGTGGAGAGGCCGCGTCGCGGCCGCGCGCTTGCTCGCGCGGCGAGCCGCGTCGACCGCCCCATCGTCGAGCGGAGCATGGCAGCAGCTCCGTCGCGTCGGAGCACTGAGCTCGTTGATGTCCAAAAAAGAATTTTTGCATGCTTCTCGCACAACACTCGCCAGTGGATTAAAATCCCTGTGTGGTGGCGGCGTGCCGTTCTCCCATCCCTCCCTTGGGTTGTGTGTTTTCTTTCTTTTTTTCTCGCCAGTGGATAGGGAGTCCACCGTGCTGCGAGCCTGTCGCTGTCTGTCCCTTGTCAGGAGCAGGAGAACTAGGAGAGCGCAACCAGTAGGAGGCCCGCGCTTGCCCCCGTGCCGCCGGGTGCAACCTGTCCTATACGAGAGAGGAATCCCTGGGACCCTGTCGTGAGGGTGAACCCTGCCCAGCCCCCCTCCGTGTCGCGATGCGCTCCCCGCTCCCGTTCCCCTGTGTCCCTGATCGTCCTTACAAGATCCTGCTCGTGCAGGTGGGGACCCTGTCCTTCTCCCACCCCTCGTTTGGCGTGTACGTTGTATTTATTTATTTATTATGGCAGAAGAGAACGACGCGACAGAGGAGGAAGTGACAAGGGAGAGACCGACGAGAGTGGGACGGCCGCGAGGTGGCATGAAGGTGGCAGCGAGAAGCGGCGAGAGACTGCGAAAAGAGATACGAAGAGGCAGACTCCCCAGGGTGGGCGACGGCTAGCGCACCACACTCCTCTCCTTAAAATCCCTGTGTGGTGGCGGCGTGCCGTTCTCCCATCCCTCCCTTGGGTTGTGTGTTTTCTTTCTTTCTTTCTTTGGCACGGGAGAGAGACTGCGAAGAGAGATAGGAAGAGGCAGACTCCCTAGGGTAGGCGACGGCTAGCGCATCACACTCCTCTCCTTAAAATCCCTGTGTGGTGGCGGCGTGCCGTTCTCCCATCCCTCCCTTGGGTTGTCTGTTTTCTTTCTTTCTTTCTGGGCACGGGACTGGCGCGCACTGGCACTAAAAAAGAAATGGAGGTAGAAGACGAAGATCGCCCAGAAAAGGAGGCGGCCAAGCAGCTGGCGGTCGAATGCCTGCTTGTTGTTGAGGACCGCCGCCGCCACCACAATGGCGAGCGACACGAAGGCGACAGCGGCGTACGGCCAGGTGCCCGCGACAAGCAGCCGCGTGCTCATGGCTCCGATGCAGCTGCCGGGGATGCTTGGCGACGCCAAACAGGTCCAGGCTGAACAGCTTGAGCACGTCGAGCCAGCGCGTAAAGTGCTCGTCGAGGCGGACGCCGTAGACGAGGCCGAGGATGCTGCTCACCTGGTAGAAGCTGACGACGACCTTGAACTTGGGCTGCAGGCCGACCGCGGACTCGATGCGGGCGGCCCGCCTCCGGAGGCGGCGGGAGAAGGGGAGGCGACGGAGCCCAGCATAGGCGGCGGCGAGCACAGCGATGACGATGACAAAGCCGACAAAGATGCCGGCGGAGCGAGCCGTCGAGGGGCAGGCGACGCAACGACCCTCGGCAGAGCTAAAGTAGTCCGAGTCCGCGACGCAGACCTCGCAGAGCGGGCCGGTGTGGCCGGCGGCGCAGTACGGGTCGCCGTCTCCGTCGGCGAGGTGGCGGGAGGGCTGGCCGGAGCCATCAGAGCACGTCTGTGAGTCACAGCGGTGGAGCTCCGAGGTGGCAGCGGAGGCGCGCCAGTAGCCGGCATCCACGCCGAGGGACGCAAGAGTGGTATTGGTCGCGCAGTTGGCGTGAAACGGGCACGACTTGCAATGGTCGGTCGGGTTCTCAAAGACGTCGTCTGGATCGGCGCTCGCGTCCTTCAAGTAGAAGTCCTCCTTGCAGATGGAGCAAGTGACGTCGCCGCTCTTGGAGCTGAGGGGGTGGGGGAGAGAGTGCACTGCGAGAGGCCCTCGCTCGCCGCGTATAGGTGTCCGCCTCGCACTCCTCGCAAGCGGTGCCGGAGGCTGCGTAGTGGCCGATAGGGCAGAGCTCGCAAGCGGGCATGTTGGCCGAGGGGGCGATGCTGCCTGGAGCGCACGCCGTCTGCTGCGTCGAGCCCGTGGTGGCGAAGTGGCCCGGCGAGGCGTCGGTGCACTCGCTCGCGGCGGTCGCGCCCTGGTAGGAGCCCTCGACGTCGAGGTCTCCAGATCCGTCTACTCTGTTGATGACAAGACTTGTCTACTGGCTGGAGCCGAGCAGGAGGGCCCGGCGCACAACCCCTGTGCAACTCACGGTCCACACCCCGTACTGCCCATAGGCATAGCCATATCATCAAGTCCTCAGCTTAAGAGGTAAGTCCTAGAGTCTGCAGACTTTACACTCACACACCCATCCGGTTCGGCCCACCTGTCCACCCGCACCCCGCACCCATTTCAACACGCACACGCTCGGGCTCTCGCCACACGTCCTACCTACGGCTGCACTACAGGCTGCTGGCGCGGCTCGGCGGGGCGCCGCCGCACGAGGCGCGCCACCGCGATGCGGCGGCGGAGGAGCTGCCACCGCCGGCGGAGCGGCCCCGCGTCGCACGGCACCGCCCCCATGCTTTTTAGTATGAGGCGCAGGCTGATCTCACGATGCTCCGGAGCCGGGTAGAGCGCCACCGCCACCGTGTCGAACAGCTTGTACGGCGGCCGCTGCAGCACCTGCGGCGTCTGCTGGAAGAAGCGACCGAAAGGAACGCCGCCGCAGCTTGGCTCCTGCTCGTGGACCATGGTGATGGCGATGCGCCGATCCATCGCCGCTTGCACGAGGCGCGCGACAACGCCGCCGGCGTCAAGAAAGGTCTTGTCGTTCAAGTAGAGCAGGAACACGGGGAAGCCCTCGCACGGGGCCGCGTTGGCTCCCTCGAGCGCCTCCTCCGCATCGCGGATCTCGACCGCCTCGGCGCTGGCGGTAGAGCCGCGCCCCTCCACCGCCGCATTCTTGAGCTCCTCTGCTATACCAAAGGCATCCTCGTTGCCGCGGCACACGAGGATAGTGACGGGGCCGCTAAAGGCAACGGGGCCCGCCTCGCCGGGCACCAGCACTCCGTCAGCGAGCTCGGCCGGGCGGCTCGCGTAGTACGGAGAGTGCAGCAGCATGCGCAGCGCGACAGCCTTGAGCGACACGAGCTGAAAGATGTTCACCCGCACCCACACGATCGGCTTCGCCTCCTCAAACACGCGCGCGAGCATCTCGTCTGGCCCGTGGTAGGAAGGGTAGGCGGGCGGGGCGACCTCGACGCAGTTCTCGCGGCACTCGGCCTTCAACGCCTCGATCGAGGCGCCGCCCTTTGCCACGTCTGCCTCGAAGATGGGGATGAAGGGCCGGTCTTTGCCGAGCGCCGCGTACAGCTCACGGCGACAGTTGAAGCTCTTGAAGTAGCCGGCGCTGAGGAAGACGAGGAAGGTATTCGCGTCGGCCACTGACTCCTCCAGCTTGCCCACGTCCTCGAGGTTGTCGACGTCGAGCCAGATCCGGACGCCGGGGAGAAGAAGCTGGAGTCGCCGCACGACGGTGTGCGTCTGGTCCTGGCCGGTCCCCCAGCAGTGCGAGATGAAGCCGTGGAAGTGGCACTCGGGGGACAACTCGAGGACTGGGGGGCGGCCGGAGGAGGCGAGGCGGATGGTAGGCATGCGGACGGCGCTGACTGTCTTGAAGAGGACGACGAGCAGCGACGCGGCCAGCATTGCGGCGGTGAGCGCGATTACAAACTCACTGGCACCGCGTTCGCTCTTAAAGCCGACGAGGGTCTTGCACAGGTCCTCATCACTCTCGCACAGCTGGATTACGGTGCCCGAGATGAAGGAACAGGCGAGAAACAGATTGGCGGTGCACGCGAGGTAGAGGTCGGCGGATCGCTTGAAGGGTCGGGCGAGGGCGAGGACGGCGAGGTAGAGGGCCGAGACGACAGAGGCGATGACGAGGCGGAGCAACTTGCTCGATCCATCGTCTGTTTGGATGAAGAGCATCAGCGAGGCGAGGAACAACTTGCGGCCCATATCGACGACCTCCCAGAAGAGCAAGCGCGGGTCGTAGTCGCGCCAGAGGAAGCGGCTGGCTCGGGCCGTGGCCCTGACTCGCTGCGCCCGCACCTCGGAGCGGATCGAGAGCAGGAGCGCCAGGAAGGCTAGCGGGACGAGCACCGGCCAGAGGACGAAGAATGCCCAAAAGTACGCGTCGAGGCCGCGGTGCTCGTCGGTGCTGCAGAGCACGTCGAGGTCGGCTACGAGATAGCTGCGTGTGTCCCCGGTGAAGACGTTGATGTTAAACGACTCGCACTGCTTCGCCTTGAAGATGGAGCGAGAGACGGAGGGCAGCACGAGGTAGGCGACGAGGATGGCCCAGTAGAGGAGGCGACGCAGCGTAGAGCGGACGAGGTCGCGACGGAGGCTGCCGGCGCGACCAGACAGAAGCCACTCCGCGAGTGCGTAGCAGGCGATGGCGGCGCCTCCGAGCAACATGGCTGCAAACGGCCACAGACCGGCGAGCAGGAGCCGGTCAGCCATCGAGCCGATGCACGCGTCCGGATAGGTGAGGCCGAGCAGATCAAAGCTGATCGCGTCGATGAAGTCGGTCCAGCGCGTAAAGTCCTCGTGGAGGCGGACGCCGTAGACGGGGCCGAGCGTGGCAACGACCTGGTAGAAGCTGACCACGATCTTGAACTTGGGCTGGAAGCCAACCTAAGGTAAGGTGGGGTGGTGTCGACACGAGAGGCAAGAGGCGCCCGGTCAGTGGATGGGGGGAGGGTCTGTCCCGCCAACCTGCGACTCGACGATATCAAGACGTGCTCTGAAGCGGTCCCATGCCTCGGCGCGGGCGAGGGCGCGGTACAAGAAGAGCCCTGTCACTGCGAGAGCGACGACGACTCCAGCAAGGACGCCGAACCTTCCCGCCGTCGGGCAGTCGACGCAGCCTCGCTCCGCGCGGCTGAAGTACTGCTCGTCGCTCACGCACCACTCGCAGAGCGGGCCGGTGTGGCCGAGGTCGCAGCCTGGGCCGGCGCCGCCAGAAGCCGCGAGGCGGCGGGAGGTCTGTGCCGCGCCGCCCGAGCCGCTGCAGTGGTCGGAGGCGTCGCAGTCGTGAATCTCGGTCGTGAGGAGCGAGGCGCGCCAGTGGTTGCGCGGGACGCCGAGGGTCTCAAGAGTGGTATTGGTCGCGCAGTCGGCATTCAGCGGGCAGGACTTGCAGTGCTTGGTCGGGAAGCGGAAGATGTCATCCGGAAGGGCGCTCGCGTCCTGCAGGTAGAAGCCCTCCCTGCAGGTGGAGCAGGTGACATCGCCGCTCTTGGAGCTGGTAGGGTAAGGGCAGGGGGTACACTGCGACAGGCCCTCGCTCGCCGCGTAGGTGCCCGCCTCGCACTCCTCGCAAGCGGTGCCGGAGGCTGCGTAGTGGCCGATAGGGCAGAGCTCGCAAGCAGGCATGTTGGCCGAAGGGGAAATGCTGCCTGGAGCGCACGACGTCTGCTCGATGGAGCCGGTGGTGGCGAAGTAGCCTGGCGCGGCGTCGGTGCACTCGCTCGCGTCGGAGAGGTTGGTGGCGCGCGAGTAGCTGCCAGCCTCGCACGGCAGCGCCGCCGCCGCGCCAACAGCGCAGTAGCCGCCCGCCTCGCACGGCTTGCACGCCGTCTGCGCCTCCGCGTCCTGGTACGTGCCGGCGGAACAGGGCGTGCACTCGCCCTGCCTGGTCTCGTTCGTGTACGACCCCTTGGCGCACGCCGTCTGCTGCGTCGAGCCGGTCGTGGCGAAGTGGCCCGGCGAGGCGTCGGTGCACTCGCTCGCGTCGGAGAGGTTGGTGGCGCGCGAGTAGCTGCCAGCCTCGCACGGCAGCGCCGCCGCCGCGCCAACAGCGCAGTAGCCGCCCGCCTCGCACGGCTTGCACGCTGTCTGCGCCTCCGCGTCCTGGTACGTGCCGCCGGCGCAGGGCGTGCACTCGCCCTGCCTGGTCTCGTTCGTGTACGACCCCTTGGCGCACGCCGTCTGCTCGGTGGAGCCGGTGGTGGCGAAGTGGCCCGGCGAGGCGTCGGTGCACTCGCTCGCGTCGGAGAGGTTGGTGGCGCGCGAGTAGCTGCCAGCCTCGCACGGCAGCGCCGTCGCCGCGCCAACAGCGCAGTAGCCGCCCGCCTCGCACGGCTTGCACGCCGTCTGCGCCTCCGCGTCCTGGTACGTGCCGCCGGCGCAGGGCGTGCACTCGCCCTGCCTGGTCTCGTTCGTGTACGACCCCTTGGCGCACGCCGTCTGCTCGGTGGAGCCGGTGGTGGCGAAGTGGCCCGGCGAGGCGTCGGTGCACTCGCTCGCGTCGGAGAGGTTGGTGGCGCGCGAGTAGCTGCCAGCCTCGCACGGCAGCGCCGCCGCCGCGCCAACAGCGCAGTAGCCGCCCGCCTCGCACGGCTTGCACGCCGTCTGCGCCTCCGCGTCCTGGTACGTGCCGCCGGCGCAGGGCGTGCACTCGCCCTGCCTGGTCTCGTTCGTGTACGACCCCTTGGCGCACGCCGTCTGCTCGGTGGAGCCGGTGGTGGCGAAGTGGCCCGGCGAGGCGTCGGTGCACTCGCCCGCGGCGGCGAGGTCGGTGGCGTTCGAGTACGACCCGGCAGGGCAGGGAAGTGGCACGCTCGTCCCCTCCGGGCAGACGTGGCCAGCATCGCAGGGCAGCGCCTCAGAGGTCGCCTCTGTGGGGCATTGGGAGCCTGCGGGGCAGCGGCCGGCGCAGCTGCTGCTCGACTGCTCCTTTGGGTCGGCCGAGCCGAGGAGTCCGGCGGCGCAGGCAAAGGGGAAGTCCTCATCGATGGGCAGCAGCGGCAGCTGGTAGAGGTTCACGCCGAGGAGGGAGGGGTCGTCCTCCCAGTTGCAGGGCTGCACGAAAGTCGCGTTCTGGCAGTACCACGGGTCTTCGACGCGCTCGAGGCAAGCCTCCTCCTTGTCCGTGTCGTGCCTGCGGCAAGCCGCCTCCTTCTTGTCCGGCGAAGGCTCGGTCGCATTGCTCTCCGTGAGCGCGCAATCGTCGCGGTGCTCGAGGCAGGCAGTTTGCTTAGCCGGCTCGTACGGATAGGAGCATGCCCCCCGGTACACCTCGCAGCGCGCGTTCGGCAGCCAGCGGCCGGCTGGGGCGGGGAGGGTGTAGGAGACCTCGCCAGCTAGAAGGAAGACGGAGCGGCCCTCTTGGGCCAAGCAGCCGCTGATGAGAGTGCCGTCACTCAGGGTGGTGCGCCCGCCCGCCGAGTAGAGGCCGCCGCCATGCTTTGTGGCGATGCAGCTGGAGATGGTTGAGCGGGCCAGGCTGGCGGCGGAGCCCGACCCGAGGGTGCCGTCGCTAAGGGAGGTGCTCCCGCCCTCCGAGTAGAGGCCGCCGCCAGACTCTGTGGCGATGCAGCTGGAGATGGTTGAGCGGGCCAGGCTGGCTGAGCCCGAGCGCACGTAAACTGCTCCGCCTCGCGTGGCATTGCAGCCGGAGATGGTGGAGTCGGTCACGATGAGGTCGCTGTTCCACGTGAATGTAGCTCCGCCGTACTGTGAGGGGAGTCGCGAGAGGCGGGTGAGGCAGCCGTGGCCCTCTCTACCTCTCGCCCCGCTTCCGTGCGGCGCTACAGGGAGGCTGCTAACTCTACGCGGCGCACATTGCCAGCAGAGCAGCCCGACACGGTCGAGCCGATTATCGAGACCGCACCGCTGTTCTCAAACGCGTAGACGACGCCGCCGGCCTGCGGTTGCGAGGAGAGAGCGGGGTGAGGTGGTCCTCCTATCTCTCATCCCGCTGCCTAGTGGCGCTGCATGGCGGCTAGCTCTACGCGGCGCACCTCGTCAGTCCTGCAGTTTGTGATCGTCGAATCGATGATCTCGACGTCGCCTGCGCCATTTGCGAACACAACGCCGCCGCCCCACGCCCTCCCGTTGACGAGGGTCAGCCCCCGCAGGGTGAGGCTGCAGCCGCCCCGCAATTTAAAGAGCCCGGTCTCTCCCTGGCCGTCGAGCGTCGCGCCCTCGCCGCTGCTCGCGACGGTCACTTTGATGGTGGAGGCGCAGCTGATATGGCTGTCCAGCTTGAAGTCTGCACCGGGCGGCAGGTAGATTGAGACGTTAGCAATAGCGTCCTCGATCAGGTTGCGGAGCTGGTCCTCGCTCGCCGCGGCGACATCGAAGCCGGGGGAGAGCGGCGGCAGCGGGGGCGGTGATGGCGGTGATGGCGGTGATGGCGGTGAAGGCGGTGGAGGCGGCGCTGATGGCGGTGAAGGCGGCCGGGTCGACCAGCAGATCTGACGGCAGAGGGAGGAGGGCATCAGAGAGGAGACGGAAGGGGAGCGAGAGGGACCAGGGGCGCGCCTTCCAGCCCGACCCGACTACGCTGCCATCCGATCGCCACTCGATGACGCCGTCCTCCGCCACCGCGCCATTCGGGGGCCCCGAGGTGCCGCAGTACTTCGTGCCGTTGACGGTGAGATAGTCGTAGCGGCAATCGTCCGTGGGATCGCCATTGCCGTCGTAGTCGTAGTAGGGCCAAGGGTCTCCCTCCACCTCAAAGGCGACCGTCTCCAATCCAACCGGCGGCACGCCGCTGATGGTGCACTCCTCGTTGATGCCGTAGCTGTTCGGGTAGTTTGGCGACGTGGCGCACGAGCCGCCGTCGGTGAGCGAGCACGGGCCGGTGATGAAGTAGCCGCCGGGGAAAACCGGTGGCAGCGGCGGCGGCGGGGGCGGTGAAGGCGGTGAAGGCGGTGATGGCGGTGATGGCGGTGATGGCGGTGAAGGCGGGCGGGTCGCCCAGCAGATCTGACGGCAGAGGGAGGAGGGCATCAGAGAGGAGAAGGAAGGGGAGGCGAGAGGGACCAGGGGCGCGCCTTCCAGCCCGACCTGACTTCGTAGCCATCCGATCGCCACTCGATGACGCCGTCCTCCGCCACCGCGCCACTCGGCCCCGAGGTGCCGCAGTACTTCGTGCCGTTGACGGTGAGATAGTCGTAGCGGCAATCGTCCGTGGGGTCGCCATTGTAGTCGTAGTCGTAGTAAGAGTAGTAGTCTCCCTCCACATCAAAGGCGACCGTCTCCAGCTCGTATGGCGGCACGCCGCTGATGGTGCACTCCTCGTTGATGCCGTAGCTGTTCGGGTAGTTTGGCGACGCGGCGCACGAGCCGCCGTCGGTGAGCGAGCACGGGCTGCTGACATTGACGGGCTGGAGCGATGCCGCTGGGGTGCCGCTTACGTCCTGGAGGAAAAAGAGGATCACAATGCCAACTCGGAGAGCACGCGTGCTGGAAAGCAAGGGTACGGAGACCGCTGCGTGGCTGCTGCGCTCCACCCTCTTCTTCTTGACCTGCCCACGCAGCAGCAGCTCAAGGAACGCCGCGAGGAGCAGCGCCAGCACGGCCGCACAAGGGTGGAGAAAGAGCAGCGAGGCCACATCGACCTCTGAGAGGGCCGTGGCGGTCGTGAAGCTCTCCTCGAGTGAGGGGTCGCCGATCTTCGTCGCGCCGGAGGTCTCGTCAAATAAGGGGGCGAGCTCGGCGTAGGCGCCGATGTTGAGCTTCATGGAGGTAGTCGGGTAGGTCTTACCGATCCCGATCTCGACCTTGGAGTGGGCCGTGGCGGTCGTGCAGACCGTCTCGTTGCTCGTGGAGCCCGAGGCCTTGATCGGATCCTCAGAGACGCAGAGCTCGGTGAGCGGCAGCGGCTCCGCGCACCACACAGGGGCGGCGCCGCCGCCGCACGTGACACCGACGGAGTTGGCGGTGGAGTCGGCGTGCGAGACGTCGCCATTCTTGACCGCGCCGGTGGTCTCGCCAAAGGAGGCGAGCTCGGCGTCGGCCGCGGCGCCGATGGGCTTGAGGGTGGTCGGGGCGGCGGCGCGCGAGGCGGCGCCGCTGAACTTGGAGAGGTTGAACGGGAAGGAGAAGGTTGGATGGAAGGTGGCGACGACCGGCCAGGCACCTAACAGCGCCCCCTCACCCCCGAGGACGTCTTGGTGGAGCAGGAGCTCCGCGGCCTTGTTGGGCTTGCGCGAGGCAGACGCCGCGAGGGCGGGTGCCGGCGCGTCGGTCGGGAGCTTGATGTGGAAGTCGGTGCGGTTGCGCGTGTCGATGAGTGCCCCCCCGCGCCGCGGACGGGGGCGAGAGGCGGCGTTTGAGGGCGTCGCGAGAAGAGCGAGGGCGAGCATGGCGGCGTGCAGCAGATGTAGGCGGAAAGGCAGATGCACGAGATTGAGATCGCAGAAAAAAACACGCCGCGCATTGTGTTGTTCAGGGCGGCTCGCACAGTAGTGTGTGTACGTTGGACGAGGTGTGGTGTGGACGCGAGAATACTCTTAAAAAAAGGCCGCACTGATCTTCTGGAGAGCTTGACAGCTGCAGCCGCGATGGCAGAGTCGGCCGATTGATGGATGGTTTCACCCGGTGGGAGGGGAGCTGATCCCACTCGTAACCAACTCTCAGGGGCAGTAGGTGGGCGAGCTTCGAGCGCGCTCATCTCGATCGACAAGGCGTCGCTACGCGCGGTCTTCCGCGGGGGGAGCTTCGTCGACGGGTGTGGGACCGGTCCGCGGCGCAGCCAGTGCTGCGGCGATGCCTCCGGCTGGTCCTGCAACGGTGTCTCGTGCGGAGCAGTGGTGTGCTGTCGCGCGAGGGTTGCAGGCGTGAGGGTCGAGGGTACCTTTTCCCCCCTTTGCTATTCACAATGCTTTGGAATCTATGAACATGACCTCGAGTGGAGCCCCAGTCCTCGACAGGCTCGGCTGCTGCAGCGAGTGGCTTGCTGCTCGCTGCGATGGCGTGATGGCGAAGAACTCGTCTCGTCACACGCCAAGGGCTTATGCTCTGTCGAGACGTGAGGCAGGAGGAGGGCGCATGCGTAACGACGCTGCTAGAGTGCCTCTCGGGGCCCAGAGATAAAACTTCTGATGCCATGCGTGACCTAGTGGTGTCCCCAGCTATGGGCGTGTCCACGTTGGACCCAGGTGTGGTGTGGACGCGAGAATAGCTCCCCCGTTCATGGAGGCAACCGATGCGAGTCGACTGGTGTGTGTCGTCGTGGTTTCGTAACAAGAATACTCACTCACTCACCCACCCCGTCCCCGACCCACCCTGACCCGAGCAACCCCGCCCCGACCTCGCGCCCACCCCGTCCGCCGCCCCGCTCGCCGATGACGGGTTGTCGCTAACGCAGAATCTCCGCCAAGTGTAGAGTCTTTATCCCCCCCCCCCCCCTCCTCACCCGCACACCCACCCTACATCTCCCTTTTTTGGCGTCTTCTTGCGCCTTCAGC